TGTTTAAAGACTGCTTACTAAAGTATTTCCTGAGAAAAAACACTTAGAAGTGTCTAAATTGATGCTCATTTCAAGCCGTTTGTTACGCAAGGCTTTGTTTCTGTGACCGGGGAAGGAAAAGAGAAGGTGCCGATAAAAATCCTCCGTGATGCAGCTGCCTATCAGTCTGATGTTGCGTGATGTTCTGCCACTGTCAAACGAGACTTGGTGTGATTCTGACGTGCTAGTGTGGGGCATCGGGATGTCTGTGCTGAGAGCCCCGTTGCATGTGGTGTATTTACAATCGCCGCTGGCGACAGGACAAGTAAAAGTAGCTGTGTGTTCGCGGTTGCCAATTAGTGGTGTCTCGTTCATTTTAGGAAACGACTTAGCTAGAGGAAACGTTTTTCCTCAACCCGTGGTTGCCGATGTTCCGGTCCCCGTCTCGTCCGTTGCCGCTCTTGCTGGCCCCTCTGTGCCAAATCTGTTCCCTGTATGCGCCGTGACGCGCGCACAAGCCAGTAAACTGGGTAAGCTTGTGGATTTGTCTGAGTCATTTATGACTAATTTAGATGAGAATAAGAAGTCTGATTTTGTTACTGATGTTTTAAAAACGGAAAACAAGCCCAAATGCAAAAATGACATTTCTTTGTGGTTTGCTGATGCAGACTTAACTCTGAATGTAACTCGTGACATGTTGACAACTGCTCAGAAAAATGATCCTACTTGGACTGTGTGTTTTGCTTCTGCATTAACTGCTGACAGCACATCACGTGTTTTCTTTATTGATGATGACGTTTTGATGAGAAAGTAGAGTCCGGAATCAGATGAATTGCGTTCTGTAAATCAGATAGTAGTGCCAAAAGAGTATCGCCTACAGGTTTTAAGTCTCGCACATGATTCCTGCTCAGCAGATCATCTTGGCATTAAGAAAACGTATCACCGTGTGTTGCGCAATTTCTTTTGGCCCGGTTTAAAAGCCGACGTGGCCAAATATTGCCGATCTTGCCACACATGTCAGCTAGCGGGCAAACCATATCAGCCTATTCCGCCAGCACCGTTACATCCGATCCCTGTGCTTGCGGAGCCGTTTAATTGAGCGGGTGATGCTTGACTGTGTGGGGCCTTTGCCAAAAACAAAATCTGGACATCAGTATATTCTGACAATCATGTGTACTGCTACTCGTTACCCACAGGCCACACCTTTACGCACGCTAAAAGCTAAACCTGTTGTCAAAGCACTGATCGAATTCTTTACAACATTCGGGCAACCTAAGCAAATACAAACTGATCAAGGCACACATTTTATGTGTAAACTGTTTGCTCAGGTGATAAAAGAGCTAAACATTTAAAATCAAGTCCGGAGTCTCAAGGTGCAATAGAAAGGTTCCATCAAACACTTAAGTCCATGATGCGTAAGTTTTGTTTAGAGCCTGAGAGAGACTGGGATGAGGGTTTGCCTTTGCTTATGTTGGCCGTTCGTGAAACTCCGCAGGAATCTTTAGGTTTCAGTTCCTGTGACCTGGTGTTCGGTCACACTGTCCGTGGCCCTTTGAGTTCGGTAAAGTTGGAAAGATATTCACAGATTCGGACCTTCCGGCTTCAATAACTTATTAGTGATACGTTGTCAAAACATAAACGAGGCATCCTTCCCATCGTTGTAAGGTAGACAATGTGCTACAAGCCCAGTTTTATCAAAAGTAGCTGTGTTTCAAGCTGCAGAAATAACATTGGTGTCAATGAG